TTGGCTGCACTGTTCGGGTTTCAGAGTTTTCGGGAACCCGAAGCCCTCAACCTGCCCTGAACCCCAAAGCCTAAACCCGAAGTGCATTGAAAGAGGGCTCGGAAAGGGACCCCTGATTTAGACATGCCAAAGGAAATGGAGCTCAGAGCGGCGTTGCTTGGAAAGGGTTTGAGAGCTAGGGTTCAGGCTTGAGGATTTGCCCTAAACCCTAAACCCCAAACCCTAAACCCTAAACCCCAAAGTTCTGTGAAGGCGGGAACGGAACACCCAAAGACCTTTCGTTGCGGCCGGAGCGCGATCTTTGCCATGTCTACGACGCGGTTGAACTCTTCGAGTCCAGCCTTCGCCCCCCCCTCTTTAGGGTTTCTAGGTTTAGGGTTTAGGGTTGAGGGTTTAGGGTTTGGGGTTTGGGGTTTGGGGCTTCTAGGGTTCATATAATGTATAGAGTTTACAAAAATCTATAGGGATTATAGGGTTTGTAGGGTGTATAGTAGGGTGTATAGTAGGGTTTATAGTAGGGTTTATAGTAGGGTTTATAGTAGGGTTTGTAGTAGGGTTTAAGTAGGGTTTATAGTAGGGTTTATAGAACTTAGGGTTTAGGGTTTCGGGGGCTGCGTGCTTCGGGCTTAGTGTGTTGGGTTTAGGGCTCAAGGCAAACCACCGTGCTGAAGGATCGGAACTTTATCTGTATATTGAGCGTGTACTTTACGTAGATATATAGAATATAGAAGAAAGCAGCTAATGCATATATGCATACATACCTGTACATATATGGTCACTTCTCTGAAGTACTTCTTTTTACAAGGTGGCCACTCTTATTTAGGGTACCCGAACAGGGACCATGATTTAGAGAACTGACCATATGTTATCATTTCCCCATGTGTTTCGCATGTGTTTCGCATCTATGGGATCATCTAACAAACCACACCGGCAACCACACCCCAAGACAAAACAAAGCACACAGACCCTGGATTTAGGGGAAGCTACCCCTAACCCCTAAACCCTAAATCCTGCAGAGCCTGAAACACCTGAACTTTGCAGCAAGCTCTATGGGCAGTTCTCCAACTTGTTGTCCTCGCATGACTCCTCTACCCTAAACCCCAAACCCCAAACCCTAAAACCCTCAAACCCTAAGCCCCAAACCTTAACCCAAACCCTAAACCCGAAAACCCAAACCCTAAACCCGCGGGGTGTTTGGTGGAAGTCTTGATTCCAACGTTGGGGTGACCTGAGGCTAGCGGCTGAGGCTGGGAAGGCTTTGAGAGCTTTGGGTTGAGAATTGAAGGTTCAACGCTCAGGGTGTTTTTCGGTTTGGGGCTTGAGGGTTCCCCAAACCCTAAACCGAACCCTAAACCCTAACCCTAAACCCTGATTGAAACCCTAAACCCTAAATCCCAAAACCCTAAAACCCTACAAACCTTTTTATGGCTTCTAAGGCTTGGGGCTCAGGGACTTAAGGTTTGTGGGTTTCGGGATGACGACTTGCAGGCCCTCACCCCCCCCCCCCCCCCATCCCATCGAATGCACGCCGAGGGCGCCATGTGGGTGAGCTCCTGGTGAGGCTTAAGCTTCGGGCTTAGGGCTTACAAGTAGGGTTTAGGGTTTAGGGTTGAGGGTTGAGGGTTGAGGGTTGAGGGTTGAGGGTTGAGGGTTTAGGGTTTAAGTTTAATCAGGCCACCCAAAGTAGAAATTGAGGGTCTAGGGTGTGAATCTAGGAGAGAGGTTCCAGTGTCTTTAAGGGTTCATCGGAACCCTACAGGGCCAACCACGGCTGAGGTCCATAACCTAAAAACCCCTAAGCGGCCCAAACCCGAACGAAGCTCATGACTTGGAAAAATCCCAAGCCAACCCCCACCCCCCCAGGCCCCCAGCATGAGGGTCCCTGCTGGGTTTAGGGTTTAGGGTTTCGGGTTTCGGGTTTAGGTTTTAGGGTTTAGGTTTTAGGGTTTAGGGTCCCATGAACACCTACACCCCCACAAAATCCCCTCGGGCCTTCTTGATGGCCGCCCGTGCAGTAAACCAGGGCTGTGGCTTGCTTAAGGACGCATTGGCCTGGCTTCCGGGGAGGTCTGGGGCTTGGGGGCGGGTGGAGGGTGCAGAGGCCCCTAGCCTAAACACTACGGTGCACTACAGGCCGACTCGTTCTCCCTTTAAGTAGCTCCTGAAACAGCTGAGCTTCGAGATTGGGGTTGACTCTAGGGCTGAGGCTTGATTGTTTTTCACAGGGAAAATTCTCACACCGAACGCTCCAACTACAAAGTTCCGGGTCCTCGGACAAACAAACCTAAGCACTTAGAGCCCTGAGTCACAAAGGCCTTGCACCTTGGGCCTCGGACATGTACGACAGTCAGAATGCTTGTTGCAACCATAAGTCTTGTTGCAATAAGCAAGAGAAAGCTGGTCACAAGTCTTGTTGTCGTAAGCATCAAAGTCTTGTTGTAACAAGCATACCTCTTGTTGTAACAACCATGAACTATTGTTGTAGTGATGACTACTGTTGTCAATATTGTTGTAAACCTCACCGACTACTATTTGCTTAAGAACCCCAAAAGAGTTTAAATAAGATGATTATAATCCCTTATATTGCCCTTAATAAGGGACAATATCTATTTTCTGGGGAGGGTTCTTAAGCAATGAGTAGCAAAGTATTGTGACAAAATATCATGATGGCCATTCAAAGGGGTGGCTGTCAAAACCATGATCCCTTTTGGGGTACCCTAAACATTAGGTGCCGCATTATCATAGGGATCCAGAAAGGGACCATACTCTTGACAACCACCCTCATGATGACTATTCACAAAAGCTTAGGGTTCAAAAGAACGCTCCCACGCCGGCGCCTCCCTCAGGGCGTTGGCCGTTGCGAGGAGAATCCTCGGGGAGTGTAGGGTTTTAGGTTTTAGGTTTTAGGGTTTAGGGTTTAGGGTTTAGGGTTTAGGGTTTAGGGTTTAGGGTTTAGGGTTTAGGGTTTAGGGTTTAGGGTTTAGGGTTTAGGGCTTGCGCACGAGGAGAGGGAGAGAGAGCCCGCGAGCGCGAGCGAGAGAGAGAGAGAGGGACTTGGGGAGGGGGTTGAGGATGAGAGAGAGCGAGGGAGAGAGACTTCTACTAAGGCACCCGAAAGCCCGCCCTCTAAACCCTCTAAACCCTCTAAACCCTCTAAACCCTCTAAACCCTCTAAACCCTTAACCCTCAACCCTCTAAACCCTTAACCCTCAACCCTCTAAACCCTTAACCCTCAACCCTCTAAACCCTCTAAACCCTCAACCCTCTAAACCCAAAACCCCCACCCCTGAGGTTTGAAGGTACACAGCGCAAGCTCTTGGCCCAAAAGCTTTGCGCTGAGAGGAACATCTTCGCTCAACTTTAGCTTGGCGATCATACAAGTGCTCTGTGTCCCGATTCGTGTGAGGTTTAGGGTTTAGCTTTTGGGTTTGGGGTTTAACCCTAAACCCCGAGATGTTCACGCTCTTCTAAAACCTGGCTCCCTAAACCTTACAACGCCTCTACCCCCTAAATCTTGGGCGGTTTTGGGTAGTTTTGGGGGGTACTGGGGGTACTGGGGGTTTGGGGGGTGTTGGTTTGTTTTTTTTCTTGGGGGGAAGGGAGGGTGGGGGGTGGTGGCGGGTCTTGGCTTTTGTTCTTGTTTGCCGGTTTGCGGGAATTCCACAACCCTCACCTGTAACATTGCACATTCCTTGTGAACATACGAACGCTCAAGCGCGCTGAGGTTTCCTGTTTCGGGTGGGGAGGGGATTGATGTAGAGATCTGGCCATGTGCCTATGTGGGCTCTCGAAGACCCTGTGTATCACCCAAACTGGGAGACTGTCGGGCCTTACAGTGGTTGGGGGGTGAGGGTTCGTTAAGCCTAAGCCCCAAAAACCCGACACCTAAGCCCTAAAAACCCCACCCTGAACCCTGAACCCTAAACCCTGAACCCTGAACCCTAAACCCTAAACCCTAAACCCTGAACCCAAACCCTAAACCCTGAACCCTAAACCCTGAACCCCAAACCCCAAACCCTGAACCCTAAATCCTACAACTCCTCAGGCGCGGCACATTCGTGAAACCTTATCACACTGCTCGAGGATGCCGTCGATCAACGCCTCGCAGACACTTCTATTTCTATGTTAGGGTTTAGGGTTTGGGGTTTAGGGTTTCGGGCTTAGGGCTTAGGGCTTCGGGTTTAGGGTTTAGGGTTGACGGTTGAGGGTTTAGGGTTACTCCCCTAGACATTTTCCCCAGCTAAACCTCAACCCTACATCCCAGGCCCCCCCCTTTCCTTGAAGGCATCCTATGGCGGTTGAGCTTCTGGGGGGGGGGGGGGTTGTCCGACGTGCTTGGGGGGTGGCGTGGCTCAGGGGTTGAGGGTTTGAAGGTCGGGCAGGGAACCCTGAACCCTGAACCCTGAACCCTGAACCCTAAACCCTAAACCCTGAAACCCTAAACCCTAAACCCTAAACCCTAAACCCTAAACCTAAACCCTAAACCCTACAAGCTGCAGAAACCGCAGCTCTGCAAGCGGGAGTCTTCCAGCGCACGAAAGCATGCACACTTCTTGTCTCAAACTTGAGGACTCGTAAACCCTAAACCCTAAACCCTAAACCCCAAACCCCAAACCCTAAACCCTAAACCCCAAACCCTAAATCCTAAACCCCATGATCAGACAGAAGCAGACCCGGGCAACCATCCCCCTCTCAGATCCCGAAGTTGGCAGATCCTCACACAAAGTCCTCCACACTCAGCCCTTGACGATTGTGCGCAAAGGCCACCCAAGAAACCACATCTTCAACATTTTCAGGCAGACGCATAAAAGATGAGAAGAAAGGCTGTAGCACTTGGCAGCACTTGCCTGAAGATCAACGGAGAAAAAAAGGGCTGCAGCTACTGGACTCTTGTTTTACACATCACGTCGCCGGCCGAAGGCTCGGGGCTCTGAAGAACCTATGCTAATATGGATGCGTCGGGGCGCTTCTCCTGTAACTTGTAAAGCCAACGGATCCAGCTAAGCATAGAAGCCAACAGATCCGCCTTCGTTGGTCGAGTCGAGCGCGTCGAAGAACTTTAACAAAAAACTTCTGTTTTGTTTGAACTCGTTGCCCTTCCCTGCAAGTGCGCGAACCTCAACTGAGATGTCCAACTTTCGGTGGGGAAAGCGTTCCTGCAAGGAGCGGAAGCAGTAGAGACGACGGTTGTTGACTGAGTAGTAGCGGCCGTGGAATTGCAGCACCTGCAGTCGAGGATACCGATGGCGTTGATCAGGCTGTTCGCACAACTCGCGCAAGGCAGAGTCCAACGAACGGCCATTCCTGAAACAGCTTCTGATCTTGCCGTGAGTGAAACGGACCTCAAGTGGGTTGAGGTCCCACTGTCCGGACCACAGATGCCACTTCAGCTGTTGCCAGGCTTCATCGCAAGTGCGTGCTTGCAAGATTCCAGCGAACTGCCGCGTGCAACCCTGGCAGCTCCGAATAGCATCGCAACAGCGGGGCCACGCCTGGGCAGCAGCAGAGGCGTCAAGAAAATGTTCCATCGATTCGCTGATGCGTACCTTAGTTGTCCAGTAACCTGGGGGAACTAAAGGTTAACCTTTGGGATCATAAGGGGATTATACTACCCCAAAAAGGTTAAAGGATACCTACTCTACTACTCGGGTACATGAAGCACGCACTCCTTCAAGCGATCGCCCGACAAGTAGTTGAAAAGCTTGGCCGGCTCGAGCGTCCTGTCGAACAAAAACTTTCGCCAGCCTAACTCATCTTCATCCTTCACGAGCTTCCACCGAAGGTGACGGCTATCAAAATAGACCAGTTGTTGCGCGGCCTCTTGCAAGCCTGCATCATCTCGATGTATTCCACCACGGTGACGGAGGGCAGCCCGGTCTCGAACAAACTCCTTCACCAAGTCTTTAAACCTTTGCCTGCTCCCAGCACTGGCAAAGGCTTTGAGCTGACGTCCCTCCAGGCATCGGCTGCCGAAAGCTTCACAGATGTCCCTCTCGCGCGGACGGGGCAGGCTGGCTTCCCCTGACTCAGGCGGCGCTTGATCAATGGAGATGATCTCGCCGTCCCTCTCAAACATGAGTGTGTAAGTTCCAGACCTCGCCAAACTCAGGCGGACATGGAACTTGTCAAAGCCATAGAGTACGAAGTGGAAGGCAGGCTGCTCAGTCCAAGGGCAGATGGCGGTTGAATGGATCTCCCCACAGACCTTCTCCAGCTGCGCCATGTTGCACGCTGCCAGCTTTGTGAAGCTTCGCAAGCAACGTGGCCAATCCAGCTTGGAAGTCAGGTCGACTGAGGTCTGCTTGTCTTGCAGCAGAGACTCCCATGTCTTCAGCTTCAGCTCATGCAGCATGGGCTTCGCACTCTCATTCACATTCTCCATGCATCTGCTCTGCTTGGGCGGGCGCTCTAAACTGCCAGAGGGAGCTCCACGATCGCTGGGGCTCGACAACGCAGTGACCGGGAAACCGCTTTCACGCTCTCGCTTCTTCCTTAGTTGTCCAGTACCTAGGGGGAACTAAAGGTTAACCTTTGGGATTATAAGGGGATTGAATTACACCAAAAAGGTTAAAGGTTACCTACTCTACAACTAAGATTCACCGTCTCATGCCAGGAGGACCAGTCGAGGCCTTCCCGAGAACGAGAATCCACTTCTCTGCCATCTACCTTCGTCACACCACGCCGGTGGTCCCATTGCACTGTCGTGCCATCCAACGCACGAAAGGTTTGAATGGCATCGTGCGACTCAAGCCATGCGACTTTCTTGCGGTGCGGCTTGCCGCGCAAGTGCTCAGCGAGGCTGTCGAGCGCGTCAGGATCGCACCGTACTTGCTTTCCACACTTCCTCACGTCGCGAAGTCTTCGCTGGCAGGGGCTACACACAAGTTCGGCGTATCGCCGCTCCTGCGAGTGGTCCCGCATGGCCTTGTAGAAGACATCAGTACCAGACATGTGCTCAAGGATGGCCGGGCTGCACCTACTCCGCTTTTAACCCCTGAGCCGGTAACCCTGAACCCTACCAACTCGACCCCAAACCTGAAACCCTTTGTTTCCTAAACCCTAATCCAAACCCTTTACCCAAACCTGAAACCCTAATCTCGAAGACTCTGAGCCTAGAGCAAGCCCTGAAGTTCGCGCATGGGAAAAACAGGCTGAGCACAGACAAGTCGCGTTGCCGGCATCTTGCCGCGTGTCCATGGGAACAGCTTTAGGGACTCTAAGCCATCAGGGTTTGGGGGTTAGGGGTTATGGCTTAGCGGTCAGGGTTGCAGGATTTCAGTTTCGGGTCGGTGTAGCGTATCAACCCCACACCCCCACTCAACCCTTCAACCTGCATTCCCCTAGTTACGTAACAAGCCCTAAACCCTAAACCCTGCAACCCTTTGTTTCCTAAACCCTAAACCCTAAACCCTAAACCCTAAACCCTAAACCCTAAACCCTGAACCCTGAATCCTGAACCCCGCAAAGCCATCACGCCTGCTGCTGGCCGGAGGAGTTCTCCACGGCCGCCATAATCCTGAGAAGGAGGCTCAAAGTACGGGCTTCAAGCAGCCCTAAACCCGAAGCCCAGGAGAGTTGCTTCAGGGTTTCCCTAAACCCTAAACCCTATAAACCCTAAACCCTAAACCTCTCACGGGCAGCTGTCGGGAGGGCCTCTGTCTCAAGGGGAGGGAGGGAGTTACCTCTGCAACCCTCGCACCCAAGGCGCCCCAGGATTGAGGGCTGAGTGCGGCCCGAGCCCGCAGCTGCCCCTACTCTAAGTTACAAGCATTCCAAGAGCACCCCAAGGGCAAGGGCATGATAAGACACCTATAGACCCTAAACCCCAAACCCCAAACCCTAAACCCTAAACCCCAAACCCTAAACCCTGTTCCAGGAGCACCTTCCAAGATGACCCCCCACACCAAGCAAAATGCGAATCTTCCCTTAGAACAGACGCACGAAGCCAATCTCTCTTGGAGAGTCCAAAATGCACAAGCCTCAAGTCATGAACGGGCAGGGAACCTAAGCCTAAACCCTAAACCCTAAGCCCTAAGCCCTAAACCCTAAACCCTAAACCCTAAACCCTAAACCCTAAACCCTATGAACCCTAAAGACCTTGGCGAGAGCATGGCTTGGAGTATGGACGGCCCATCGCGATTTGGCACCCGCCACGGGGATCACAGGGATCTTACTCTCTTTACCCCGACCGCAAGAGGCCCCTTAAGCTGCAAGCACTTGTTTGGGGAAATAATGAGGCCCTGCAAGAAAGACAACCATTGATTTGAACCAAACCCGGGCCCTGATTGCTTTTGCGGGCACCCAAAACCCTAAACCCCAATAAACCCTAAACCCTAAACCCTAAAACCCTAAACCCTGAACCCTGAGCTCTAGACCCTAAACCCTAGACCCTAAACCCCGAAACCGATCCGAACTAAACCCTCAGACCCTGCCCGAACATGCTGCGAAGGGGCTCCGCCCCCCTCGTCACCGCAGCTGAGCCTGCTGGGTTCGGGAGTTCGGGGTTTAGGGTTCAGGGTTTAGGGTTTAGGTGTTAGGGTTTTGAGACAAAAGGGTTTAGGGTTTAGAGTTTTGGGTTTAGGGTTATAGGGATAAAGTGTGTAGGGTTTAGCGTTTACGGTTTCGGGTTTTGGTTTATAGGTTTTTCGGTCTAGCGTCATAGGGTTATAGGCTTCTAGGGTTCTAGGGTTCTAGGGTTCTAGGGTTCTAGGGCTTAGGCATAGTAGGGTTTAAGCAACCCATACAACAAAGCCGTGGAGCACCCTCAACCTTCAAGAGCCCAAAGCAATCTCGTTTTGTAACTTCTTGAGGCAACCTAGCAAAAAAGTTTGGGTTTAGGGTTTAGGGTTTAGGGTTTAGGGTTTAGGGTCTAGGGTCTAGGGTCTAGGGTCTAGGGTCTAGGGTTTAGGGTTTCGGGTTAGGGTTTAGGGTTTAGGGTTTAGGGTTTAGGGTCTAGGGTTTAGGGTTTAGGGCTCAGGATCTTCAGGCAAACCCTAAACCCCGAAACCAAGAAAACAACTATTCAAAGGAATGGTTGGACATGCCACGCGCAAAAACGCGGCACGCCGCCCGACGCCCTCGCGTCCCGCTAAAACTCGCGGAAGCATCCATGCACCTACGCAGCCCGCGAAAACATAACAAAGACTTCACGATGCCGAAACAATCAAAACCCTACTTGAATTCGGGTTATAAGCAGAGAAACTGGACTTACAACTGGGTCTAACCTTCTTAAGAGTACCTTACAACCCTACTTATAACCGTACTAAGGGTACCTATAACCCTACTTATTGCTACACATGAACCTCCAAGTAGAGCACCAACTCTCTTCCCCAAAGCTCTGAAAGCCCCGCTCGACCGCTAAGCCCTTGAGCCCCCCAACACCCAAAACCCAAAACCCCGAACCCTGAAACCCTATACACTTTGAAACCCTAAAGCCCTTAAATCCCTAAAATCCCAAAAGCCCTAAAGCCACAATAGCCCGAAGAACCCTAACACCCTAAACCTTAAATCCCCTAAAACCCTAAACCCTACACGGCCGAGGGGCTGGTCTTTCTGGGAGGGAGGCGGTGGGCCACAAACCTGGCTCAGGGTTTAGGGTTTAGGGTCTTTAGGGTTTAGGGTTTAGGGTTTAGGGTCTAGGGCTTAGGGTTTAGGGTTTAGGGTTTAGGGTTTAGGGTTTAGGGTGGTTTAGGGTTTAGGGGAGCGCAGGGCATGCAGGGGATCAGGGCTCAGGGGCTTGACGGTATTAGGGCTTAGAAGTGAGATTTTTCCCACTTATCCTAACAGTCCTTAGTAGGGATGAACAATCGGGGGCACTATAATCCTTTTTTAAGGACTGCTAGTATAAGGGGGAACATCCTAACTTAGGGGTGTTTAGGGGTTTTAGGGTATTTGGTTCAGGTGCGGGGTTTAAGTTTTTCGCGTGCGTGCAGGGGTTTTGGGTTAAGGGCTTGGGGCTTCGGATTCGAAGCCTTGAAGCCCCTAAAGCCTCAACCCTCAACCCAAGGCCCCTCGAGGGGCCTTGGGGGATCTGGCAGCAACTGATATAGGATTTAGAGTAAGGGTCGAGCGTTTAGGGTTTAGGGTTTTGGGTTTAGGCTTTATAAATTTAGGCATGAGCATGGGTATCTGGGTCTAGAGCTTAGGGCTTAATGATATAAGGATGACACAGGGTAGTACTGGTCGCTCTTTTTGCCCGCACGATTTCCTCAAGTCCTCAAACCTGTGCTCCCACGCCTGAACCTTCCCTAAGCCAGGACCAAAGCCCTCTTCAGCCCGAAACCCCTAGACCCTTACACCCCTAAACCCCTGAACCTCTAGACCCCTAGACCCCTAGACTCCTCAACCCCTCAACCCCTCAACCCCTCAACCCCTCAACCCCTAAACCCCTAAACCCTACACCCCAAACCCTAAACCCCTAAACCCCTAAACCCTGAAACCCTAAACCCCAAACCCTAAACCCTAAATCCCTTTGTTGCGGGCGCACTCGCCGGGCGCCGTGGAGCGCAAGAGGTCACTCCGCTTTCCTCAGGGGAAGGACCCTGCAACCCCCAATGCACTTGGTATCCGAGGCCGGAAAGTCTGAAACCCCTTGCTGCATTGTTTGGAAAATAGGGGTGCCCTTCTTTGGGGGGCTCCTAGAGTCTACAAAAAGGATTACAGTGTTTTGGGGTAAATTAGGGGGTATCCCTGTTTGAGATCCGGGATGCCGTCCGGTGTGCTGGCTTTAGGGAGTTCCGACCTGAGCTTGGGAGCAATGGGGGAAACCCACAATCGGCCTCAGAAGGCCCCCTTAAGCTCAGCCCCTCCCTAGCAAATACACGCACACACACAGACCAACCCCTCCCCCCTCCTGCGTGCGGTGGTTGGTTTTAGGTTTTCGAGTTTTAAGGTCTGAGGGTCTGAGGGCATAGGGGTTTGAAGCTTTTGTGGTTTTTTAGGGCACTAGGGCGACCCCTGCAGGGCGCATTGTGTTTGACGCTGCTTGCAAACGTCTACGTACCTTAAAGCCCCAAACTTATAAGAACTTAACCTCCAATGAAAACCTTAAACCCCCACAGCCCCCTAGTACCTACACACCTAACTTGGGATGTTCCCCCGGGTACATAATCCCTATTAAGGACTGCCCAAACCCTAAACCCTGAACCCTGAACCCTGAACCCTGAACCCTGAACCCTGGACCCTAAACCCTAAACCCTGAACCCTTATAAACCCTAAACCCTAAACCCAAAGAGAAGCCGCGGGGCGCGGCTGCCAGCCCGGCGGACCCACCTCGCTCGGGGGAGATCCGTTCGAGGCGTCAATGTGTCAGTTTCGTTCACTTTCGGGGTTTAGCGTTCGGGGGTTAGGGTTTTAGGGTTTAGGGTTTTAGGGTTTTAGGGTTTTAGGGTGTTAGGGTTTTAGGGTTTTAGGGTTTTAGGGTGTTAGGGTGTTAGGGTGTTAGGGTGTTAGGGTGTTAGGGTGTTAGGGTGTTAGGGTGTTAGGGTGTTGGGGTGTTGGGGTGTTGGGGTGTTGGGGTGTTAGGGTGTTAGGGTGTTGGGGTGTTGGGGTGTTAGGGTGTTAGGGTTTAGGGTTTCGGGTTTAGGGTTTAGGGTTTTGGGTTTTGGGTTTAGGGGTTCAGGGTTTAGGGTTTAGGGGTTAGGGCGGTTAGGGTTGATAGGGTTTAGTGTTCTAGGGTTTGGGGTTTAGGGTTCAGGGCTGACGGCTCAGCCCGGTTTTAAGGCTGAGGAAAAAGAGCCCGGTTGTGGGCCGAGTGTTGGAAACGTCTGGTTGCCAGGGTGGTGGGCTTGAGGACCCCCTAATCAAAGCGAATCCCCCAACTCAACTGAACCCAGATCCCAAAAGCACTGAACCCTAAACCCTAAACCCTAAACCCTAAACCCTAAACCCTAAACCCCATTCCACCCTAAACTACAAGTTCGCCAAGCCCCTCTGAGACTCAACAACCCTCA